TCTACCTCGTCATCAGCCAGCACACTTTGTCTCGATTCCAGCAGCTGTAAAAACAACAATGAATCAGTACTGTGCGATGTGTACGGACACAACACATCGATCAATGCAGCTGAAAAAAGTCAGCAAATAAACTCTGACCCTCTTTCTTCTCGCTCGACTCCGCGCTGAATCCTTCGCAGCTTCTGCCCGCAATGAGTGTTCCGCCTGAACCTGAAGCTCCTGCGTCCCGTCTCACAATACGTCTCACAGGCGGCTGGAAAACAATTAAATGAGTGTGGTATGAATACAAAGAAAATCAAACGCAAGTCACAGTAACATTAAACAAGGAAGGAGAAACAGTGTCACTTACACACAATGACGTCGTCTAAATCTGGACTTTTCCCAGAGCAAATACGAGGTCACCGCCTCATTATGAGGAGAGATTAGTCTGTGAAAACAAAATGTACAGTTATGATCGGTATCTATACGTATATATTCCCTTATAGCGCAGAATGAAAGCATATTCTGTAAATCTGACCCTTGCTCCGGTTCGTAGCGCCTGTAGTTTGTCTCGGAGTTGTGAAGACGGCGCACCGCTTCCTGTAAACGACACGGCAAAGAAAATACACTTTAATAAAGCTGTTTCTGCTCACTTGTAAGGCTACTAGGCTACTCTTAGCTTAGCTTGAGGCTACGCTACTTTTAGCTTAGCTTGCAGTCATCGAACGTATTCTTACCGCCATCTTGGGATTGTGCGCCCGTCTCCTCTTCTTTGAGTCGGTTCCTCTCCTCCATGGACAGAAACCCGCAGAGTCCCGAACGCTCCAGTGGAGCGAACCGCTCGTTGATATCGGCAGTTGGTTGTTGGAGTTGACGAGACGATCCACTGAGAGCTTTCAGCAGCTTCTTCTGTCTGTCTGCGGACTGGCCGAAAGTTGGTGACCGCGGAGAGGAGTTGAAGGCGAGTTGAACGCGAGACGTCGTCCCGCCATTATTCACGAACCAGCAAAAACCAAACAAAGGAACTGGAGATACAGTTCATCTGAATATAGTAACACACGTGTCTGTTTGTATGCTCGTCTTGCAAGTACTGCTGTCTGAGTCGTGCCTATGACCTCACACGTGATTGGACGAGGAGTCTAAGGGTCCTCCAATCACATACGAGGTTATTGTTATACGGAAGGACCAGTATTTTAGGACAAATGTTGGGACTTTGAAACAGCTGTTATGCTTTATGTAAAGCAGTGTTTTGGTGTCAGCAGAACGACTTTCCCTAGAAATCTGTACAGTGGTGCCTCTTTCTCCGTTCCACCAGACAATCTTGAGTCTGACAGACACGCAATGTTGACAATGTATCATCAGATGTACTCTTGTGTCACTGAGGTTGAATGTTTTGCCATGACATGTAAACGGGTAACATATATGAATGTAACTTACTCAATCGATAGATGCAGAGCAGAAAGGTCAGCGTATGTTCATGCTAAGTGGTGTGGAAACACTAACAGTTTTGAGGAACCCGTCCTTGACCCTCTAGCAGAACTACGACCAGCCATTATAAAGCACTTTATAGTTGTTAATGTTGTGTCAAAGGGTACGGCATTTAAACATGTTCTTGCACAAGTTTCCTGGCTTCATCTCCACCCGGACAGACATTTTTATGGAAAGCCAATAGAAGTTTGGGGCTTGCAGGGAACAGACACGTCATACAGCATCATTTCTGCCAGTTGAGCGCATTGCTAGAAGATGTACGGTTAATACATCCTCTGTGCATTTAAGTAAGACCAAAGAAAAGGTCACTGTAGTCCTGCCACTATGCACTGTAGCTGAGCTCTAGGAGACTGTGATCTCTGCAGACCCCTCATTCTGATTCAAATGTTGTTTGCATGGAATGCTCATTTTACCTTGATTAAAACTCATCTTTTAAAGAAGTTATTTTGTGTATCGTTTTTCACATAACATTTGCCATTGCTAATGGCGTACACAGTAATCTAGCATATTTGAATTAAATGAATCAATTCAAGCTCAAATGTAAGAGGCTACTGAGCCTGATCTATTTGTACCAGAGATTTTCTTACCTTTTAAAAAAATGTCACCTGGGCTAAAATTCCCTCTGCGACCCTGATTTGCATTTGTATAGCTCACAGCATTTTCATTTACATGTCAAAGCCTCCCCTAGAATTAGGAGGAGGGGGTCATGGGGGGACAACTGCCAAGGGAGGCCCACATCAATTTCTGACAATTTACGGCAGTTTTCGGCGTTGCTGCAAACCTGAAATTCCACAACAATTTACAGTGCCGCATACTGCCGAAAATCCCACTTTTCATGCAGTATGAGATCCTATCAGAGCTCTGATAAAATGGCATAAGAGCAAAGAAAACTGAATGTTTTGCATCGTTATTTGTTATTTCTGAAAAGCACAAATTTTATTTACATTTCCAGATTTTGTTTTGCAGCATGTTCATATTTCTTTTTCAGTAGAGACATGGACCCGCGTCCTCCTCCTCATGCAAATCACATGTTAACGAGTATCTTCACGGCCACGCGTTCGCAGTAAATCATTGTTTCTAACTTTATTGAGAATCAGGCACAACACAGCGACCTGCAAGCAGCGCAGCGTCTTTAATAAAGTGATGTGTGTCTTAGTGCGATGCTTTAGAAATGAACACACAGGGATTCTGTATTTGTTCATGAAGTCTGAAAAGGGTCATTTGGGCAACGTTTTGATAACCGACCGCAGCCAGCGGGGAGAGAGCACCAGCGGACTGACGGCAGCCCCCCGCCCCGCACCCCCCTCCGCACCCCGGCCACACCGTCCACTCGACCACTAGAAATGGGTTATTTAGCGTGCGCGGTCGATCCACATGTCCCTTTATTGTTTTAGCGTTGCCTCTTTGATTATCGCCACCGTCCTACGAGGTGAACGGCGGCTCACATGAACCGTCGCCACCTTCCCGTGATGAAATTGCGCTTTTATGTTCATGCTGAGTTTGTATCTGTGGTGGCGGGCGCGGTTTGGCTCGGCTGCAGGGGGGGCGGAGAAGGGAGTGGTTCGGGGAACGGTGCCGGGGGAGGCATAGTCAGCCTCAGGTGGGACTAACCAAGCTGTGTGTTCTACCTTTAAGTGGGAGACATCCGGCGACAGCGAGACGGTGCTGAGAGGCGAGGAGGCTGGAGCCGGCTGTGTGTTATTGTGTGGGAACATTGAAATAAAGCACTTTCAATGGACCAGACGCTGCATGCGCATCATTCCGGGACCCCCCCACAGGACAAACCTGTCACAGTATCCTTATGTTTGAAATGCACTTATTGAAACCTCAGTCGCTCTGTGTTCAGATTTAAGGTCAATAGGGATTTGAGGCAGAAAAACAGGTACAAGTGTAGAATAAATTATTGTTGATAAGAATCTATTAAGAAGTGATTTAATAAAGACAGAACTGACATTTTAGCAGCTGTCTTGAAAGATCTATTGAGAAGTAAGTCATGTTCTTCAGGTACAGTAGTTGTGGACCAGTACTAAAGTTTGATAGTGTGCTATTACTGATTTGTTTGTAGTATTCCAGTTTATGTTAACACAAAATTAACATTGTCATTGTGCTGAAAAAGGTGATCGGCGATCTCTGTAGAATATTTCCCAAAAAGAATTGGTGTCACATGACATGATCACCAGTGCCGCCATGCTTGTTAGTTGACCCTGTTGTTACATTTGTTACACAGTTTGTCCTATCAACGGATGATGGCATTGCACGATTTTAACACATCATACATAGTTATTTGGTCAAAAAGTGGATCCACATAGAGAATGCTTTTATGGTCAATGTATCCCAGAAAGAAAACGTAAAATATACAACCCTCCCGCCCCATGTTTAAAGATATACAACAGTATATAGATAAATTGTTTGACTAATACTACTTTCTTTTTATTATTTGATGTGTCACCGTTGTCCTGAAAATCTGTGCTGACGAGCTTGCCCCATCTTCACGCTGATCTTCAACCGATCACTCGAGCTGTGTGAAGTCCCCTCGTGCTTTGAATGCTCCACCATCATCCCGGGTGCAAAGAATCCACCATCACAGGATTAAATGACTACAGGCCCATCGTCCTGCGCCTATGGTGATGAAACCCTTGGAGAAGCTGGTGTTGGGGGATCTGTTTGTTTGTGGACTTTAGCTCTGCATTCAACACCATCATACCGGGGGTTGCTTCTTCTACTCTCCCATCATGTCTACTCCCTGTTCTTCCATCGCTGTGTGGTTTGGATTGGCCACCAAACAAGACTACAAACTACAACGGAGAGAGAATGATTGCCACAAGACTGCCCTCCATCCTGGACTTGTACATCTGCAGGGTGAGGAAACAGGCAGGAAAGATTACTGCAGATCCTACGGACTAGGGAGACAACTTGTTAAATATAAGGTCAAATATATGTATTATGCACAATTTGGAATATATATTTTATATTGCATTGTTAAATTATTATTTCAAATTTTTATTTTATTCCTGTTTATTGAATGAACTGTGTTGAGACCTGACAAGTAGGCGAAATTAAATTTGTACAAATACGCATATATGGGAAATAAAACAGATTCTGTTCTTATTTCTGAGTGACACAAAGTTGTTCCAACAGTGCTCCCTCCATGCAGGAAAGGGTCACTGCGACTGAAGACCCCATCAATGAGGTTAAATGTGATGGTATTAGTCTAATTTAGAACCTGCATTTTCATGAGGTCAAAAGGGGGAATTCACTGACATGGATCCTATTTCAGTTGGTGGAAAATTGTTAAGGATTGAATCGGACTGACCTAACGTTCATGAGTGGTAGATGTAATCACAGAGATTGACAGGCCGTGCACATGACCAGAACAGACTGACAGGTCGTTCATTACATTAGCTGACACTTTTATCCAAAGCGACTAAGGTTACAATAAGAGTGTAGCACTTGTTTGGGACTAGTATTAGGAAAAAGCACTAAATATCTACCTAGGTTCGAAGGAGAGGTAGGTTTAAAACAAAGAAGAAGTTAACGAATGACCAGTTTATTGCTTCACTCGGTCATGCAACAATCACAATATAAAACAGTGTGAAATGAAAAAACAAAAGAAGAGTAGATGATCGGGAAATTGTATGCTTCTTGTGAAAGAACTCAGTCTTCCCAGAGTAGATAAATATACAAGTCAAGGATATAATCCGTTCAGTCCGTAAATAGTGTGTGCGTGAGGTCCGAGTTCCGTTGTGGTGCGGGTCTTTATGTATACGGTCTCTCTGAACTACCTTCCTACCGTCTACCTGACGGCAGGACTGGAGTCTGACGTCTTCTCGATACACGAATCAGGTTGGGTCTGATCATACGGTCGGCCACACCGCATCCACGATCCGGGTTTAGCTCGCCATCTCAGCATTCAGATTCACAGGGTTCAGGTTCTTCTAGTGTGCATAAAAAACCAATCTACACAAAGTGCAGAATAATCAGTGTGCTTTCTAATTCTAGTTCTTACATGAGATCTCATTCATTTCTGTTCTATATGTATAACCATCACCCGGTTGCACGCAGATTACATTGAGATGATAAAACAACATCACAGAAATACTCTTATAACATTACAACTTCACTTAATAAGGTACAATTCAAAACGATACAGTATTCCACATCACTAACTAAAGGGTTTATCTTTTTCCCTTAATACGTTATGTTATTATATCACCATACTTAACATGAGAATAGCTTAAAGTATAACTTGAACTTAATTTAAGATATGCTTAGGCTATTTAGAGTCTATGCACCTGCAATGCACTTGCATAGCAAACCATTGCCATCTGCTACTTAACATAAGCTGCATGGCTGAACTGTTAACAACGCATCCTATAATATTCCAAATTGCAACGCAAAGACATCAGCGGTTTGACTCGATGTTTCCTCCACGATACAGTGAGCACCAGTGTGGGTTTAGCATTTACTCTTTCGTGTTTATAAAATTAAACACGGTGTTAACTATGGTAACAGGCTGCCAGAAACACTGACAACCACTCCGTTACTACTCCGATTGGTTCCAAAGAGATAACGTTTCAAATAATAACCTAAAAACAGTATTAATCCTCTCCCAGGTTCGCTAGCATGATGCTAGTAATGCTAACAGTGACTAGCTAACTGTGTTCACTCACCGGAGTTTCCAGTACGCGATTATTCGATGGGATTATGTCAGTTGACACTCAACTGGCTCTCTGGTTGGGAAACCGTCTTATTAATATAATTAAATGTAAGCTTGAATGTTTTATATTATTTCGTACCGAAATCCGGGAGCTCTTTTCTTCACGTCTCCTGGAAGGATAAAAGGGGGCGACGTGGCGCGCGGGGGTAGAGAGGGGGCACTGGGAACCGCAAGGTTGGTGGTTCAAGTCCCGGCTGCCCCATGTCGAAGTGTCCCTGAGCAAGACACCTAACCCCTTATTGCTCCCAGGCAAAATGTAAATGTAAAGCCATGGGTTAAAAATGTAACGTAAGTCGCTTTGGATAAAAGCGTCAGCTAAATGAAAAAGGGATTCCTCGCTCGTGGGTTTCGTGGGTAGCTCCCTTGAGCGGAACGCAAGCGCGCCCCCCAGAGGCAATAACTGCCACTACTACTGGTATCAGTAGCCCTAACTTCATGAGGGTTACAAGTGCATTTCAAACATAAGGATACAAACTCAACATGAACATAGAAGCGCAATTTCATCACGGGAAGGTGGCGACGGTTCATGTGAGCTGCCGTTCACCTCGTAGGACGGTGGCGATAATCAAAGAGGCAACGCTAAAACAATAAAGGGACATGTGGATCGACCGCGCGCGCTAAATGACCCATTTCTAGTGGTCGAGTGGACGGTGTGGCCGGGGTGCGGAGGGGGGTGCGGGGCGGGGGGCTGCCGTCAGTCCGCTGGTGCTCTCTCCCCGCTGGCTGCGGTCGGTTATCAAAACGTTGCCCAAATGACCCTTTTCAGACTTCATGAACAAATACAGAATCCCTGTGTGTTCATTTCTAAAGCATCGCATTAAGACACACATCACTTTATTAAAGACGCTGCGCTGCTTGCAGGTCGCTGTGTTGTGCCTGATTCTCAATAAAGTTAGAAACAATGATTTACTGCGAACGCGTGGCCGTGAAGATACTCGTTAACATGTGATTTGCATGAGGAGGAGGACGCGGGTCCATGTCTCTACTGAAAAAGGATCCTTCCACCGAACACCGGAAGAACCGACCACCGACCAATGCAACCTGCCGCTCCGAAAAGGGAACCTGCCACCGGCCACCGGAGCCTGCCGTCCGGACAAAGGAAGCTTCCACCGACCACTTTTCGCACTCGGTCCTACTGCGATTCATGGAGGGAGAACAAGAGGTGCACAAAGTTGTGGAGGAAAATACGGGACAAATATGTCCGCGAAAAAAGCACGAGGCAATAAAGTCCATGATAAATAAATAAACAAACCAACGACTTCCACAGACAAAGACGTGACTCTCTGGGTCAGGGGTGTCAAACTCAACTTGCACAGGGGGCCAAAATTCAAAACACACTTTAGGTCACGGGCCGAACAGAATAAACATTTATTGAACACACTAAAACTAAAAGTTTCTTTTAACATAAATATAAATACAAACAGACAGAAATGTTATTCTGCAATAAATAAACTTAACCTAAAATATCTTGCTCTCCATAAAAATATATCCAGTGAAAATTATACAAGTTAGAAATATGAACATGCTGCAAAAAACCGCTTGAAAAAAAAAAATTGTGACAGTGCTTGTGCTTTAAGTAAACATAAATAACAAATCAAAACATTTGAGTTGCTTTGCTTTTGTCATTTTATAAAAAAAAACCTTAGATTTTAAATATCACAAATAATTTTACTCTCCATAAAAATATTTCCTGTCAAAATGATACAAGTTAGAAATATGAACATGCTGCAAAACAAAACAAAACCTGGAAATATAAATAAAATTTGAGCTTTTCAGAAATAACAAATAACGATGCAAAACATTCAGTTTTCTTTGCTCTTATGCCATTTCATCAGAGCTGGATCCAGCTCTGATAGGATCTCATACTGCATGAAAAGTGGGATTTTCGGCAGTATGCGGCACTGTAAATTGTCGTGGAATTTCAGGTTTGCGGAAATTTGCGGGCAACGCTGAAAACTGCCGTAAATTGTCAGAAATTGATGTGGGCCTCCCTTGGCAGTTGTCCCCCCATGGCCCCCCTCCTCCTAATTCTAGGGGAGGCTTTGACATGTAAATGAAAATGCGGTGAGCTATACAAACGCAAATCAGGGTTTTAGCCCAGGTGACATTTTTTTAAAAGGTAAGAAAATCTCTGGTACAAATAGATCAGGCTCAGTAGCCTAATTATAGTCTTACATTTTAGCTTGAATTGATTAATTTATTACAAATATGCTAGATTACTGTGTACGCCATTAGCAAAGGCAAATGTTATGTAAAAAAGATACACAAAACAACTTCTTAGTTGGTTAGTTTTAATCGAGGTAAAATGAGCATTCCATGCAAACAACATTTGAATCAGAATGAGGGGTCTGCAGAGATCACAGTCTCCTAGAGCTCAACTACAGTGCATAGTGGCAGGACTACAGTGACCTTTTCTTTGGTCTTACTTAAATGCACAGAGGATGTATTACCCACACATCTTCTAGCAATGCGCTCAACTGGCAGAAATGATGCTGTATGACGTGTCTGTTCCCTGCAAGCCCCAAACTTCTATTGGCTTTCCATAAAAATGTCTGTCCGGGTGGAGATGAAGCCAGGAAACTTGTGCAAGAACATGTTTAAATGCCGTACACTTTGACACAACATTAACAACTGTAAACTGCTTTATAATGGCTGGTCGTAGTTCTGCTAGAGGGTCAAGGACGGGTTCCTCAAAACTGTTAGTGTTTCCACACCACTTAGCATGAACATATGCTGACCTTTATGCTCTGCATCTATCGATTGAGTAAGTTACATTCATATATGTTACCCGTTTACATGTCATGGCAAAACATTCAACCTCAGTGACACAAGGGTACATGTGATGATACATTGTCAACATTGCATGTCTGTCAGACTCATTGTCTGGTGGAATGGAGAAAGAGGCACCACTGTACAGATTTCTAGGCAAAGTCGTTCTGCTGACACCAAAACACGGCTTTACATAAAGCATATCAGCTGTTTCAAAGTCCCAACCATTTGTCTTCCTAAAATACTGGTCCTTCCGTATAACAATAACCTCGTATGTGATTGGAGGACCCTTAGACTCCTCGTCCAATCACGTGTGAGGTCATAAGCATGACTGATACAGCAGTACTTGCAAGACGAGCATACAAACAGACACGTGTGTTACTACATTCAGAAGAACTGTATCTCCAGTTCCTTTGTTTGGTTTTTGCTGCTTCGTGAATAATGGCGGGACGACGTCTCGCGTTCAACTCGCCTTCAACTCCTCTCCGCGGTCACCAACTTTCGGCCAGTCCGCAGACAGACAGAAGAAGCTGCTGAAAGCTCTCAGTGGATCGTCTCGTCAACTCCAACAACCAACTGCCGATATCAACGAGCGGTTCGCTCCACTGGAGCGTTCGGGACTCTGCGGGTTTCTGTCCATGGAGGAGAGGAACCGACTCAAAGAAGAGGAGACGGGCGCACAATCCCAAGATGGCGGTAAGAATACGTTCGATGACTGCTAGCTAAGCTAAAAGTAGCGTAGCCTCAAGCTAAGCTAGGAGTAGCCTAGTAGCCTTACAAGTGAGCAGAAACAGCTTTATTAAAGTGTGTTTTCTTTGCCGTGTCGTTTACAGGAAGCGCTGCGCCGTCTTCACAACTCCGAGACGAACTACAGGCGCTACGAACCGGAGCAAGGGTCAGATTTAAAGAATATGCTTTCATTCTGCGCTATAAGGGAATATATACGTATGGATACTAATCATAACTGTACATTTTGTTTTCACAGACTAATCTCGCCTCATAATGAGGCGGTGACCTCGTATTTGCTCCGGGAAAAGTCCAGATTTAGACGACGTCATTGTGTGTAAGTGACACTGTTTACTGTTTCTCCTTCCTTGTTTAATGTTACTGTGACTTGCGTTCCTTCCGCCTGTGAGACGTATTGTGAGACGGGACGCAGGAGCTTCAGGTTCAGGCGGAACACTCATTGCGGGCGAAAGCTGCGAAGGATTCAGCGCGGAGTCGAGCGAGAACAAAGAGGGTCAGAGTTTATTTGCTGACTTGTTTCAGGTGCATTGATAGATGTGTTGTGTCCGTACGCATCGCACAGTACTGATTCATTGTTGTTTTTACAGCTGCTGGACTCGAGACAAAGTGCGCTGGCTGATGACGAGGTGGAACTCTGGAAATCCGCCACCGTAGAGCTCACGTCGGACGGAGGGGACGGCGTTGTTGGCGGGGTCTCGGGGTGGATTGTACGGTCGCCACACACACACGAGCCGCCTGCACAACAGACCTGCCTCGGAAAACACGGCGCCAGTGACGGTCTACAACCCAGTTACTCAGCTGTAAACTAATCAGTCAGCTGTATTCAAACGGGGGGGAAATGACTGCACATTTCATGAATCGCATTTTCTGCCTGAAACGATCGCTTCAGCGACCCTCCTGGGTGAGAGCTTGTGGAAGGAATAATCCTCTATATGTGTCAAGCTAGGAGAAGGATTTTAGAGGTCAATCCATCAGTCTCTATTTGTCAGTTTACTGGCATATTTAACGCTTTATCTTCCGACTAATGGAATTTTAAAAGCTAGATTCAAATGAGCAACCATATCATTCTCAGGTCACAAGACTTATACGTTACATGGGGGGTGTTGGGGTGATGGGGGAAGGGGGAGTTGCAACTAGTGATAAAAACACAGGACTATCACCCAGGACGCTGTCCTGTGTGAAACCATTTCCATGCTGATTTAATTCACCTTACTTTACATATTACAGAAGTTAAACTGGAGGGTTGCATGTACCCCCATTTGAAGTACCAACATGTAGTTTCAACAGTCCTCCAGCAGAGAGAGCAGCAAGCCAGAGTAAACACTGTATCTGATATGAATGAGACAGAGGGAAGGGAGGATAGATGTCACAGGAGGAAACCTCATCACAGTGTTTCCTCAGGTCAGAGACATTCCAGCAGGGCGGACCAGAAGGACGCTTCTTGTCCTTGTGTCTTGTTCCTGTCCATCGTTTCATGGCCGCCTACAGCTGATATTAAACGTATACGAACGTATACGTATAGCAGAAGGCAGGATTGGGCGTCAATGCTTTCATGCACACGGAGGCAAACAATGAATAAGTTTTAAAGTCTCTCAAGGCGGCCTGTTTTTAAGAAGGTTTTTCAAATCAGATAACTAGAAGCGGCTGTCAGGAAGGGGGGGATAGAAGGGAGGACTCAAATGCAGAGTTTTTCAAAAAAACAAAAAGGCTTTAATAGTTCCAAGTTCCAAAAAGGCAAGATTCCAAGAAGCAGGACGTAGACAAGAAGCATGAACGCAGTGACATGCACCTCCGGACAATATGCAATGACAAAGTAACAAGAGACACACATGGCTTAAATACACTAGAGAGGTGCTGGTGATTGGAAACAGCTGGAAACAATCATGACATGACAGACAATCACAGGGGAAGACAGGACAAGGCA